CGGGGGAAGAGGGAGAGTAGTATTCATATTGAGTAATTGTAGAGAGGGAATGGGGGGGGGGGTAGAGAGGGCGCACGCGGAGGAGAAAGGGGGGAGGGAGAGGGGAGGAGGGAGGAGGGAGCAGGGAGAGATGACGAGGAGCCCCCAAGAGGCCCCCAAGAGGCCCAAAAGAGGCCCCGAGAGGTCCCAAAAAGGCCCCCAAGAGGCCTCAAACCTGCATCCAAGAGGCCCCCAAGAGGCCTCCCACGAGATCCGAACAAACATCCAAGAGGCTTCACACCCACAACCCGGGCACGGTGGCGGGACTCGCCGTGGGCAGCTGAATAGAATGAGGAAACATAAGGAACTGCTGCACAACCATCACATTTTTCTCTGAGAGGCGCCGCAAGGGTGGCCCTAACGCAGACCCAAGGAATCCGCGCAGACCTTCGAAAGTGTACCTTTTTATGCAGACTAAACTCTTCGAATCGGCGGCGAGCCCGGAGGGGGAGGGAAAGGGAGCAGGACCTCTCCGCAGGCGGAAGGGCTTCTCGGAAGTCCTCTGGCCTTCTGGGAAGTTGTCCGCATCCTCCTCTCAGGAGGCCCGAGGCCTTCCAAGCCTTGTGAGGAGGCCCACCCCTTCTCACTTCCCCCCCAGGCTAGCCGCCGACCGAGCGAAAGAAGAAGCGAGGAGGGGAGCCCTGAAGAACCCCTGATTGCCCACTGAGCCCATTCAACAAAAAACATTCGAAGGCGGTCCTCCTCGTCATCTGTCACCCTCCTGCCTCCTCACATTCTACCTCCTCCTCCTCCTCCTCGCCGTCCTCCTCCCACTTCTCTGTCCCTCCCCTCTCCTCCTTCCACCTCCTTCCCCATTCCTCCCTCTCCCCCTAAGACGAAGCCAGGACGAGGACAAATTCGGGTAAGGGTCAATCGTGAATCTCTGAGATCCAGCGGCTCTTGAGGATGTATCGGGCGTCTCGGCCTTCTCAGAGCGTTCCGGAACGCTCTGAGAGCCTTCCGGAACGCTCTGGAACGAAGTAGTCCTCGCCCTGGCCCCGTCCAAACCCCCGCCCCCTACAGCCGCATCCTCTTCGCGCGGCCATTTTGGCCTCAGGGGCCCGTGCGGCAGCGTCCCAGCAGTGCCTCAGGACCGCCTCGGCGCTGCCCTGCGCCCCCGGGCTCCACCACCACTGGCTCCCGCACCTCCCGACGAGTGCCTCGCGGAGGCCTCGGCGCCCCTGCTGCGCCCACGGGGAACAAAAACTGGCACGTACACAGGTTCTCGGAGGCCCGCACGGATTCCTTGCATCGGCGCTGGACCCCCTTCCCTGCTGCGAGGATGAGGAGGAAGGACGAGCAGAGGAACAAAAAACAGCAAAAACACAAGCGTTTGGCGGTCCGCGCGGACTTCTTGGATCTGGGCTGGCTCCCTGCTGCGCGGAGCGCGCCAGGGGCGGCGCCGGAGGCGCCGCCAGGGAGGCCCAGCGCCGATCCAAGAAATCCGCACGGATGTCCGAGGAATCATGTTTATGCCGCCTGCTGTTCTTGGAGCCCCCGAGCCCGCAGCGTCGCCCCGAGGCAGCTCGGGGAGAGCTCTCCCATGAGGGCAGCGCCACGCTCTGTGGCCACCTCCGAGCACAGTATATGACGACCACCACCAAGATCGAGAATAATCCACGATGCGATTTGGTGCAGCTTTGCTCTGGTGAAAAGCCCGCAGTCCCCCGCCCGCCGCCAACGGCAAACGGGCTGCCCCCTCTCTCTCTTAAGGACCGAAACAGAATTCATCAAAGCACGCGCGGTGGTGGTGTATGAAATGTTGGTTACCAGGAGGAGCGACTCTCAGATTCCACCACCAAGATGTGCTGTGTCTGCTCCAAGAACTCCCCATGCCACGGCGCCTGCGAGCTGCGCCGCGCTCCTTTCGCCGTGGCGTCGCAGCGTCGTCTGGCATGACCCTGCCCCTAACCCTTTTTGCGATAGTTTACTGTTGCGGGCGGTGGTGGTGTATAAAAATTGGCCTCGCACAGCCGTCATGCCGCGCGGCCGCCGCCCGCTCAGCCATGACGGGCTGCCTGGCCACTCTGGCACTCCAGTGGTGGAACAAAAGAATTATATGAACATAAACGTCTGGATTTCCTCTCGTGTGTCGTGGATCTGCGCTGGACCCCGTCCCTAGCGCGCGGAGCGCGCCAAGGGGGGGCGCCAGAGGCGCCGCCAGGGGTGTCCCAGCTTGCGTTGATACTGCTTTTCACCATTCGATCGAGACTGCCAGAGCACAGGGCGCAGGAGAGAGGCCGAAATGAGGCGCGCAAGCGCAGGGGCGACCCACCGACCGTCCACAGCGGCGGGCTCTTGGGCAGACTGCAGAGCTGCCCCATTGCACGATTATGCGACCCTTTCGACGCCCGAAGTGGGCACGGAAAAAAATGGGCACGACGCCCCACAGCAGATGTTGAGCAAACCCGACAGCGGCCGCTGTTGGGCAGGCGGCCCTCTGCCTCAAATGGAAAAGGTTCGCAGCGGCATCGACAGCGAGCCCATTTTTTCTGTACACATTGCTAGGCGGGGATTTGTCCATATCCAACCCTTGGGGAAGCGACGTCCTGGTGCCCCAGCGGGCGGTGGATATGGATGCATGTTTACCCCGGGGGGCCAAAATCTACTCACATCCACGGCCTGTGGAGGTTCACGAAAATCGATCCTCCAGGTGGTGGTTATGTATAAATCCCCGCCTCGAATGTTGGGCAGGCGGCCTTCTGTCTCAAATGGAAAACGTTCGCGGCGACATCGACAGCGAACCCACTCTTCCCGCACACGCCAGCCGGAAGAAGCAGGTAGAAACATGAAGTAGGAAGGCGGATACAATAAACTGGGATCGGGCCCGCCTGAAAAGAGTAATATCAGCCAGCGTTAACTCCAAATAGATTAGAGATTAGACGACTCAAATCAAGAAATCGGAAGAATCAAGCATGCTTGGAATCCGCAACTCAGCAAGCAAGCAAGCGTGCAAGCAAGCTGGCGAGCAAGCAAGCAAGCGTGATAGCAAGTGAGCAAGCAAGCAAGCAAGCAAGCAAGCAAGCAAGCAGGCAGCCATAGGCATAGGCGTAGGCATAGGAGTTAGGGGGAGGCATAGGCATAGGCATAGGCATAGCCATAGGAATTAGGGGGGCACAGGAATTGGGGGGGGGGCAACGGACCAATTAGTAGGGTTTGAGCTAGGACTCCTATAGGGCAAGCCTATTTGGAGAATTGGGGGGGGGCGGGGCATAGGAATTAGGGGGGGGCAACGGACCAATTAGTAGGGTTTGAGCTAGGACTCCTATAGGGCAAGCCCATTTGGAGAACAAAACACAACCAAAACAGATCGACTCTTGAAGTGGGAAGGCCCTTGAGGCAGATTGGGATCCGGGAATCCAGAAGCACCTACCTTCGACGACTGGCGTGCCGATGGTGCTGATGCTCGCTTGCCCTCTGACTACCTGCCAAACCACCCCAACCCAACCCGAAGACCCGAATCTGACCCCCATTTCGGGTTGGGGGGCGTAATTACGGGCTCCGTGTGTGCTCTCAACGCTCCCCGACCCCCCCCCACTGGAAATGGAGGGCACATTGAGGGCCTCGGGTTGGCTTGGGGTGCTTTGGTGGGTGGTGACCCTCGGCCCCCCCGAATCGGCGGCCCTCCTCGGCGCCGCCCGACCTGGCGAGACGCGGCGCGCCAGATCCTCTGCGTGGCGGCGAGCCCCGCTGCTGCTCCGCGCGCCCTCGGCCGCGCGTGCGCTTCCCTCGACCCCCTTGCGGATCCCACGCCCGCGCGGCAAGAGGCCGCGCGGTGACCCTGGAGTCCCGAGAGGCCTCCCCGCACGGCCCGTCATGTGCTGGTGGGTATAACGCGAAGCGCCTAGAATTTATCATATACTACTAGCTTGAGATATTTGCACGGCAAATCAAACAGCACGATGTCGAAGTTCAGCTTCACCGACTTCTCTCGATTACTGTCGATAACAATCGTAGTCGAATAACTCGGTGTGAGGAAGTCTCTCAGCTCGTGTCCGAAGGACCTCGGAGAACGACTCGAAGCCCAACTGGCTCACCGCGCTGGGTGCGTGTTCACCACGCCGACCGGGGGCCCACGGGGACCCCGCCGCGAGCGGCACGAGAAGGCTCGAGATCACCACCGCCATCGTACTGGCATCGATGACCGTGTGCGCTGGGGCCGACTAAGATCTCGAAGTCCGCCTTGATACGCGGAGGCCCAGCGGCGCTTGGGGGGTAGGCTTATGGCTTCGAACTCGGCGAAGGTGAAAGCACATCACGATGGCCTCCGCCACCTGCTCCGAAAGATCCTTCATCTTGGAGGCGGCCAGGGGGTCTGAACTAGTTGGGACCCCAGAAAATCTATCGGAAGGGGCGACGAAGACAAATCCGTTCAAAATCGGTCCCAGTCCTCCCGGGGGCCATCTGGCGCAGCTTTTCACCCAGGTCAATTTTTGATGGTCCCGGGGTCCGGAAACGATCCCCGGAGGCTCGAAAACGATCCCCGGAAGCAACAACAAAACCAAAAACCCCAAAAATGTCCGAACCCAAAACCTCGAACCTGCGCCCCCCCCTTCCTGCTGACTGGAGCCAGTGCTGGGCCACCTCGGACCCCCAGACGGCTCCAGCACATCACATGGGCCTCCACCACCTTTGCTCGGAAGGATCCTTCCTCAATGTCTGCGTGTCCTCGATCCTCGCCGCGTGCGGCGCGCGAGAGAGGCTGCCGGGCCCGACCCGCTCCGCGGGAGAGCCCAGCTTCGAATCGACAAATCGCACCGGCGATCGACGGGAATCGGATCGGCAGCCGAGTCGAGGAACGCTGAATCGGCGGAACTCGTCAGGCCAATAGGCCTCCGATCAGACACCGGAGCCCAGGTCGGCATCCGAGGCCGAATCGAACCGGAATCGGAAGCCCTCGACATGTCGAACCGACTCGGAGCGGAGGAATCGAGGCTAGCCCTGGCCCCGCCCCCCGGGGCCTCTGGTGGCGAGGACGCTGCCGGCGAGGCTCGCGTTGGCGAAGCGCGTCGCGAAGGCGCTGGGCGCGTCCGCGGAGGGGGCGGCCGCGGCGCCTCGGGCGCCGACGGGGACGCGCCGTGGGGGCGGGGGGGAGGGGCCGGGGAGGATCTGGGTGGCGGCAGCCGATGCTCTGGGACGATCTGGGCAAGGCTCGACCGAAGCAGTGCTTCTCGTTTTCCTTACGTCTGCATTTTTCCAGCGTGCTGGCTCCATTCTGCCACTGATAGGACGGAGACGGTCCACGGGATTGCCAAAACAGCGGCTCGCTCGAGCCCCGGATCTGGGACGGTCTGGGTCTGCGCCCCCGAGAGGCCCCCCCGAACGCCCGAGAGGCGCCGCCCCAGAGGCCCCCAAGAGCCCTCGAGGATGCCCCTGGGAGGCATCCCACGAGCCACGCAGACGCATCCAAGAGGCCCCCGTTTCACGAGCGCCCAACCCACTCTGGGACGAACTTGGATCCTCCTCCTCCTCCTCCTCGATCCTCGGTCGTCGAGATTCGACCCTCCTCCTTCTCAGAGGGCCACCTCGATCCTCGATCCTCCTCCTCCTCCTCCTCCTCCTCCTCCTCCTCCTCCTCCTCCTCCTCCTCTTCCTCCTCCTCCTCCTCCTCCTCCTCCTCCTCCTCCTCCTCCTCCTCCTCCTCCTCCTCACCTCCTCCTCCTCCTCCTCCCTCCTCCTCCTCCTCCTCCTCCTCCTCCTCCCTCCTCCTCCTCCTCCTCCTCCTCCTCCTCCTCCTCCTCCTCCTCCTCTCCCTCCTCCTCCTCCTCCTCCTCCTCCTCCTCCTCGCCTCCTCCTCTCCTCCTCCTCCTCCTCCTCCTCCTACCCTCCTCTCCTCTCTCCCCTCCTCCTCCTCCTTCCTCCTCCTCCTCCTCCTCCTCCTCCTCCTCCTCCTCCT